GCAGTGGCACACACCTATAATCCCACCACTGGAAAGGCTGAAAACAGGAGGATCACTATGAGTCTGAGCTTCATTGTGAGACCCTGTATCAAATACATGAGGGGTAAAAAAAGAAGAAAAAAACATCTATTACATAATTAAAGCTATAGAACAATGTGAAGTTCTTCCTAAGGTTAAGCAAATCTGCAACAAGGCATGTAGTTAAGAGTCCAGAAATTCAACACAAGAACAGAATCTTAAAACCTGTCAGAAAAAAGAAACCGACTATAAAGGAATGTCCTTTAGAACCACAGCTGACTTCTCAGGACAAACAATACACTCAAGTCAAAGAGAGCGTGGCATGAAGAATTTCAAGTTCTAATGGAAAACAACTTTCAATCCAGATTGCTGTACCCCACAAAACTGTCAGAACTGATGGAAGAAATAGGACACTTCCATGACAAAGTACAGCTGAGGAAATTTATGACCTCCAAGCCAGCAATCCAAAATGTTTTGAAGGACGTTCTAGAAAGAGATAACAAGGACTACAACTCTATGAACTCCAACAGAAGAAATCTACCAGGCAAGGCAAAGAAACACAGGGAAGGAAACAAAAGGGGGGAAGCCAAAAACAAGGATAATTCAGTACACACTAAGTAGAACCATCAATATTAATGATCTCAAATTACCAATCCAAAGACAGACTGGCAGAATGGATCATGAAGTAAGATCAAACAATATGTTGTATACAAGAAACACACTCAAAAACAAATTCACAGAGTGAAAGTCAAAGGATGAAAAATAATATGCCATGTAACAGGAACCCACAAAAAAGCAGAGGTAGCTATTCTATTTGTAGACAAAGTGACTTTGAAGCCAAGATTGAGAGAGATAAAGAGGATCAATATATCCTTGTAATGGGAACAATCCAAGAAGTAGTAACAATCATAAATATGTATGCAACAAATACCAGTGCATGGAACTACATAAAAAAAATATTAACAGACATGAAAAATCAAATAATCACGAATATGATTGTGTTGGGGAATCTCAATACCCACTGTCACAAATAGATTGACTAGACAAAAATTAATGAAATATTAGAACTGAATTAAACTTTTTTAAAAAAACCTTTTTTAAAATGTATTTAGT